GTTAATCAGTTTTGGGGGGAATTCCCTGGTGGTCCAGTGGTCAGAACTCGGCACTTTCACTGTCAGGGCGCGGGTTCACTCCCTGGTCAGGGAACTGAGATCCTGCAAGCTGTGCGGTGTGTCCAAAAAAAAAAAATAGTTAATCAGCTTTTTGTGAAAAGTAATCTGGAAGTTTCTGACGGACTTCTGATGTCTGAGTGATGATCCTTCCCGACACATGAATTGGTCACACCCGTCTCTCCTAGTTTCCAAAGTTATTTACCTTAAGCAATTTCCAGTGCCTTCAGCTGAATTTCCTAGCACATGGCAGACAGACCTCTGTGTATATTATAATTGTTTCAGGTCTACATCATAGTGCAATCTTTTAAAAATACATTTTAAGTAACAATTAGGAATGCAAATATAAGTTGAAATATAATTAAGCGTGATGTAAATAATTCAACTGAGGTAATGGTCAGATTAACAGACACTTTCTATATATAGTTAGGATCCTATATAGCAGGTGATAAGAGGCATACCACAAGTGTCTTTGGATTTTCATTGTAAAACCCATCCCCGATTTCAGAAATGTTTAAATGTGAGAAAAAAAAATGGAGACCTGAGGAATAAGTGGGGTCAGTCAGGCAGAAGAGCAAGAAGGAAACATATTGGGTGGAGGAGAGGGCATATTCCATATTATTTGGAAGCAAGAGAGAGCAGGGCATGTTGGAAGACTGAAAACTTTGAGTGTGACTAGAATCTAGAGTGTACAAGGTAGACACTTTGGAAAATAAGAAAAGGAGCACTTATGGGGCTTCCCTGGTGGCGCAGTGGTTGAGAGTCCACCTGCCGATGCAGGGTACACGGGTTCATGCCCCGGTCCGGGAAGATCCCACATGCCATGGAGCGGCTGGGCCTGTGAGCCATGGCCGCTGAGCCTGTGCGTCCGGAGCCTGTGCTCCGTAACTGGAGAGGCCACAACAGTGAGAGGCCCATGTACCGCAAAAAAAGAAAAAAAAGAAAAGGTGCACTTCCTTCTGTGGTGTGGGTCGTGTCAGCATTGGCTTTTTGTAAGCAGTACTGTTTGAGCTGGGCCTTGCGATGAGTGGGCGTTCATGGGGGAATGGTGAGAATGGGAAGAGTATTTTAGGCATAAGCAAAGATGTTGACATAACATTGGGATCTAAATAAGAACATCGTAGAAGTCTTATCCCTATCCACAGTTCAGTTTTTTTCTCACCTTAGGCTAATGAATTTGTCAGAGCAAATGCCACCAACAAGCTGACAGTCATAGCCGAGCAAATCGAACATTTGCAAGAACAAGCCAGGAAAGTAAGTAGTGGCTTTTAGGTAAGCGTTCGTTTTCTTCGCTTAGTTCATAGGATTGACTGAACTTGCTTATAATCATTGTAACTTACTTGTTTCAGTACCTCCTAGAAATATAGAAGTGTTGAGTAAAATAGAATAAGCCCGAGAGGTTAAGTATAAGTGTTTTCACTGGGAGAAAGTTCAGTGAGATAAAGCATTTTGAGGGGAAACTATGAAAGAAATGTACTGACCACAGAAAAATTGGAAAGAAATGTAACAACCATTCAAAAGCCAGTAACACTCAACGTTTTGAAATACAATTTTCCTAAAGGCATTTTTACAGCATAGTAGCATAACATCGTGTAATTTTTCTCTTCAGTATCATCTGGATCTCAGTCATGATTCACTGCTGTGGGGGAGCAGGACCCTAGGCATCGAACGGTTTCCAGATTTTGAGTGGGATGGTCATTGAGTATGAGTGCCTGTTACCTAATACCTAATTGGTTACACCTCTGCGGTTCTTAGGTATTGGAGGATGCTCGCAGAGATGCTGACTTGCACCATGTAGCTTGTAATATAGTGAAAAAACCTGGCAACATTTACTACCTTTATAAACGGGAGAGTGGTCAGCGGTATTTTTCCATTATTTCTCCAAAGGTAAGAACATTTAATTTTTGCACAAAAATCTACTCTTGTCTTTGAGAAATTCTTGGGTGTGTGTTTGTGTGTGTGTGAGAAAATGTAGGTATAGGGGTTGGGAAGTGGTTTTCTAGAAAACTGGAGGTGGCATGAGCCCAGACATGACTCTGAAAAATATGCATGTGCTTAAGTTATTTCACAGTCATTATCTCTGTTAAGGGAGGTATCTGATGTGTAATGTAATGGTTTCCAAGAATGATTCTGACTGGTCTGGAGTGAAAAGCTAAAGAAGAAAATTGTGGTAGAATTAGGACACAAGCTCAGTTTCTTTATCTCCTGCCCTGATCAGAACTGACTCCTTTGCCTTCTCTAGGAATGGGGGACAGGTTGTCCACATGACTTCCTTGGTGCGTACAAGCTACAGCACGACTTGTCCTGGACTCCGTATGAGGACGCTGAGAAGCAGGATGCTAGAATCAGCATCGTGACCAAGTTGCTAAGCCAGCCAGTGGCTCTGCCTCCGAGCACTGAACCCAGCATCCAGGGCTTCACTTCCACTGAGAGTGGACTCTGACAAAGGCTGTCATGGCTAGGACCTGTCACCTCCTTGTTGCCCCAACCTCTGCCTTGATGGGAGGTGGCATGAGAATCGGGGACATGGAGGGGAATCATGAACTTCTTTGAAGGTGGTCCTGTGTGAATGTAAATGCTGTCGTTATTACTTTTAGTTGGGATGGTAAAGAATCACATCAGTCTCTTTGGGATCCTCTCCAGGTCACAGATACTCAACTCGTCAGTTTCAGAGTATTGGCCAGTGTACTTTCCTTCTCCTTTATCTCCATCTGTTCTCCCATAAGTCAGAGCATTAGAGAAAGAAGGGTTTCTTCTTCCCTCGAAAAGATTGGCAGGTCATTTTCCAGAGAGGACTGTTGTTAGTCTTTTAGTAACTAGAAGGGTTTGAGATTGGGGTTGTGGCTATTGAACAGTTGGTGCAACTCCAGCTTCAGATTCGTCTGGGAACCAGAATGTTGGGTACTGGCGATGATAAACAGCGTGGCTTGGCTCGCGAGCGAGTGTGTGGTTCTGGTATTTCTGCACGATTGATAAGGCTTGGCTTGTCCCATTCTGCTCTTTCTGCCGAGCTAGGATGACTGGAGAATTTAAGGCAGCAGCAATGGCCAGGTTTCGGGACAGTCAGCCTCTAAACTCACAGAATTTTAGACTTGGAAGAGATTTTGGAGGCTACCACTAACAACGTTATGAATCCACTCTCTAGCCCCACTGAGCAGGAGATCCAGAGTTCCGCCATCTGCAGCAGGAAGAATCCATTAAGTGGCAACTTTAGAATATTGTGGAAAAGAGAGTAGGACAGTGGGTGAGAAACAAGAAAAACAGCCAACCTGTTGATTATGAGTTAACTCGGATTAAAATTCATTTTGACCTGAATTATTCAGGAACTTAACAGAAGCTTTTTGGCTGAGTTACTCTATGCTGATTCTGACTGAGCTCTTGTGGGACTCTACCTCACTTCCTGTTTGTTCAGTGGAATTAGCTAAATTGATAGCAGAGCCAGCATTGCTGTACTTTCTTCAGTGCCATATAATCTATTACAACATGCTGTAAAAGGAGTGAGAGATCTGTACTTGAAATCAAATTGCCCAAGTTCCTTGCTGGGGATGAATGTCCTTTGTGTTGATCTGCTTGGTGATGCCACAATCTCATCCTGGTGTTAAAGGCCTTTCCTTATAAGCTTCGCTCCTTGTGAGCTGTAAATGGTCCACAAAGGCCTAGCAGAGGTTGGGACTAGATTCTGTCAAGGTCACACAGATGATACTTGGTCACTCAGTTCACAGGAGGATGCTCTGGAGGCAGCCACGAAAGCCTCTGGCTGGGAGGCTGCAGGAAATGGGACACACACACACACTAGTGGTATAGTAGTTGGTTCTTACTACAGAAAGTTTCCCAGGTTTTCAGAAGGTTTTGCATGGTAATGACATTTTGAGTAGGTGCTTTGTTATCCATTGCTGCATCAGTTACCACAAACTTAGTGGCTTTAAACTGCACACGTTTATTATTTCAGAGTTTCTATGGATCAGGGGTTGAGGCACACTTAACTGGGTCCTCTGCTTCAGGGTTTCTTTTCTCACAAGGCTGCAGTCGAATTACTGGCCAGGCCTGTGTCCTCATCTGAAGGCTCAGCTGAAGAAGGATCTGCTTCCAAGCTCACTTAAATTGTTGGTAGAATTTCAGTTCCTCAAGGGTTTGTAGGACTGTGGAGCTCTGTTTACTAATGAACTGTTAGCCAGAGGCCGTAGTTCTTTGCTACATGAGTCTTACCAACATGGCAACTGTCTTCATCAAAACCAACAAGGATGAGAGTCTGCTAGCAGGATGGAAGTTATGGCAGTGACATCTCATACCTTGGCTGTGCTCTGTTAATTAGAAACAAGTCACTAGGCCAGCCCACACTCGAGGGAGGTAATTACCTAAGGGTGTGAATACCAGAAGGTGGAAATCCTTGAATCTTAGAAGCTGTATGCCGCAGTGCTCAGTTGAGAGGGAGAAGGAAGGCTGGGGCTGGAAGAGGCAGTATTACAAAGTGGTTAGGCTTGGTGGCTTTGAAGTCACAGATCTGGACGCGACTCTCAGCTCTGACAGAATAACCTCCCCTAGTGTTCCTGCTTCCTCCTCTGGTCCCTTCTCCAGTCCATTCTGTATTCAGTCATCAGCTTGATCTTTTGAAAATGCAAATCCACATCACCCTTGACATCTATCCTAACCACTGGAACACAGAGCAGTGTGATTCAGGAGCAAACTTTCTTCCGTTCAATAAGGTGTGCTCCTGGCACTGACCACCAGGTGGTGCCATTGTACTTTCCTCATTAAGCCAGTTACCAAGCTTAGAGAAAGTGGCATTGTGAAGTGATTTTGGAGGTAGCATCTCCTAGGGGGACTAGGACCCAGTGATTATAAACAGTAACCATTTTTCACTCATCCATCCATCTATCCATCCATAAGTGAGTAATACTTAATTACTGAGTATTAAGTGCCTTCCAGGTTCCAGATTCTGGAGAATGACACAGGTGAGTAAGACAGGCCCCTATTTCTAGGAAGCTTACGGTCTAGTGGGGGAGAAAGCAAGTCAGCCATTACAACATGGTATAAGAAGGACTATGATAGAGGTGCACATGGAATATCATGGAGCACTGGGGAGGGCTGCTTAACTCAGCTTGGAGAATTTGAGAAGGCTTTTTGGAAGAGCTGACACCTGCTTGGGTGTTAAAAAAGGAGCAAGAGTTAGAGCTTGTTTGGAGGCTCCAACTGTCTCTGTAGGAAGGTTGTCTTTGGGGGTTAGGGCAGGGTTTATTTTTGGATGGAGTTTATTTGTGAATGAACAAAGGGATATCCACTTAACAAGCCATATCGACCAGAGTAATCCTGCCAGTCAGGAAGGGTGGAGTGAGCTAGGTCCCAGCCAGAACCCTCTTACTTCTAACAGCTAGGAGGTAGGTAGATGAGGAATCGGATGAAAAGCAATTCTAGACAAAAAATAGCACGTGGGGGACACTGACAAGAAGCAATACGACATTTGGGGAATTGCAGCTACAGTGAAGAATAGTGGCCAGGCGGTAGGAGAGGAGAGCTAATTGAAGGGTTGGCGGTAGGGAGTTGGTAAAATTGGCCTTTTTAGAAAGCTCATCTTGGCAGTGGAGGGTGAGTGGGGGAGAAACCACTGGGAGCCTCCAGCCCAGTCCAAGCAAGAGATGTTGGAGGTTTGAACAAAGATGGTGATGGACTGAGAGGTGTTGTATTTCATCAATTGTAAACGTACTTTTCTTCCCCCACGTTTTAATCTCTCAGACCTAGATGCTTCTAGATGTCAGTAGTATGTCGTCGTTTAATAATGGTTTGTCTTAACAGTGGATGGCATTTTAGGCTTGATGAAGTATGGCATTTTGAAAGTACAGTAGATCGCCATCTTGTTAATTAATACGATGTGGCACAATGAGTGGAAGGAAAGAATCTTAGATAATGCTTGAATTTCTGGCTTGAGAGTGTGGATGGGGCTTCCCTGGTGGCGCAGTGGTTGAGAGTCCGCCTGCCGATGCAGGGGACACGGGTTCGTGCCCTGGTCCGGGAGGATCCCACATGCCGCGGAGCGGCTGGGCCCGTGAGCCATGGCCGCTGAGCCTGCGCGTCCGGAGCCTGTGCTCCGCAACGGGAGAGGCCACAGCAGTGAGAGGCCCGCGTACCGCAAAAAAAAAAAAAGAGAGTGTGGATGGTGGGAATCCACTCAACAAAATGTGGACGAGGAAGACATCCCTGCTATTTTCCAAAATAATTAGCAATCTGTATTTGCCTCAATAATCCACCATGCTGGCCCTGCCTGGTTCACTGGGTGTAACAGCTGACACTACCTCCTTTTCTCCACATTAGCATTCCAGAAGGAGGGAAAGAAGGCTTGCTTGTGTCCTTACCTTCTCAAGTTATCAGTCAGTCCACAAGTATTGAGAGTATTGGTGGTGTAGACACAAAGATGATAAATACTGTTAAGTGAGCTTTTTTTCTGCCAAGCATAGCCAACTGTTTGATTTAATCTTTATATAATCCACCATCTATGAGGTATTATACAGTATTCCTATTTTACAGAGCTGGGGCATCTCAGACGTTAAGCAACTGGCCCATGGTTACACAGATAAAAAGTGGCAGAGGTCAGGCTCAGACATTACTATTTGATTAAAGTCTGACCATAGCTATAACCATAACCTGTTTTGGCCGATTAGGACAGTCCTAGAATATCTCTACATAGAGGTGTGAAGAAGTTAAAATACAAAAGTGACAGAGTAACATGTGCATATGGGATACTATAGGGGTAGTTCACTTGAGTATTTAGTGATGAGCATGCAGACGATGTATATCAAGGTCCAGAGAAGATAAGTAACTTACCTAAGGTCACACAACTTAAAAACAATTGAGCCCACATCTCTGGCACTAAAGCCCATGTGCAAACCCCCCACATACAAGATAGGGTTCATTCCCTAAAGGAGTTAGAGCTTGGGAGGGAGGAGCTACTAAGTGCCTGGAGTAATTAGACTTCCGTGGTCCAAGCAGCATTTGATTCAGTGGACTACTTCCTACTGAAAAGCTTTGTTCTTCATTTTGATTTGGAATATTACCGTCTTCTGCTTCACTGACTGCATCTTTTCTGTCTCCTGACACTTATAGTTTGGACTGCTCTGGGGCCAAGTCTTTGGCCCTCTTTTCTTTCTCTACTAGGTGATCTAATCATTTCCCATGGCTTTAAATGCCACCCGTATGCTCTTGACTCACATGTGTGTCTCCAGTCCTGATCCCTCCCTGAGTTTTATGCAGACTTCATTTATCGAACAAACAGCTTCACTTGATGTCATTACAAACCTAACGTGCCCAAAATGGAAGTCTTGAGTTATACCCCAAACCTGTTTTGTTACCAGTCCCTCTCTTTCCATCAGCACCTGTGTCACACTGCTGTTGAGGCCAGAAACCCAAGTCATCCTGATTCTGTTTGTTCTTCCCACACCAATCAGCAAGTCTTCTCAGCTCTGTCTTCGAAATACATCCCACATCTGACTGCTGCTCATCACCTCCACCCCTCCCCGCCTTAGTCCAGGCCACCAACATCTCTAGCCTGGACGAATGCAGTAGCCTCCTAACTTGCCTCCCTGCCTCCATTCTCACCCTCCTTCATTCTGTTTCCACAGAGACTGTAGTCATTCTCTTAAAAATGTGAGTCAGGTTATAATACCTCTGTAAAAAATGACCCCCAAATTTCTCATTACACTTAGAATAAAGTCCAAACTCTTGCCAAGGTTCTGTGTGATGTACCATTCTCAGTACTCACTGCATTTCCCACTGACTGTGCTCAGCTCATCAGCACATCAAGCCTGTTCCTGCTCCAGCGTCTTTACATTTGTAGCTCCATCTGCCTGGAACATTTCCCCCAAGGTCTTTTCATGGTTTGTGTCTTCTCAACATTTAGGTCCCTGCTCAAATATCACTTCACTCATTACCCTATCAGAAGTACCAGCTCCTCTCACATCAAAATACTGCTGACCCTGTTTTGATTTCCATGGCGCTTGTCGTGACTAGACATTTGTTGCCTTTGCCCCATACTTGAGTGTAAGTTCTCTGAGGGCAGAAACAGTGTCTGTCTTGTTTATTGCTATATCCCTAGCACCTAAAATAGTGCCTGGCACATAATAAATACTCTAGTAATGGATGGATGGATGGACATCTGCAGCTCCGTACTTATATCCTGCAGGGCGTCTAAGTCAATGCAGCTAAGAGAAATAGAATGTGAGCCACGTGTGTGATGTAAAATTTTTTAGCAGCTACATTAAAAAATAAGGAAAAACAGGTGAAATTAACTTTAATAATTTAACCCAGTATATAAGAATATTAACATTTTAACAAACAATACTAAAAATTAGTCATTTTATGTACTTTTTTAAAACTCAGTATTCAAACTCTGGTAAATGTACAGCTGCCTCAATTCGGACTAGCCACATTTCATGCACTCGAGCCACATGTGGCTAGTGGCTATCATGTTAGGACAAGTGTAGACAGTCACCCTACTGTTCTTGTTCTCCAGAACGGGAGGAAGCTAGAAACTTCTGGTGGTTGGGGAGCTAGCTCTCCCTGCTGCTTCTCCCTCTTCTGAAGGAAGCCTTGGGGATGTCCAGGCTAACAGAGGTATGATCATGTCCTTAGAATGATGGTGATGATGATGACTGAGCTGCTGTGCTGTGCTGAGCATTTCATATAAGCTCATTTAATTCTCACGGCAATCCCATTTTACAGATTTGGTTGCGGAAACCAAAGTAACTTGTTCAAATTTACACATCTGCCAAGTGTTAGAGCTGGAATGTAAATCTGGCTAAACGTTAAAGCCGGTATTATGATCGTTATGTGACCATTTTTATTTTGCCACTTTAACGGTCCATGTCGCCTGGAAAAATGAAGAGAAATACAAATGATAGAAAGGAGCTGACCTGACTCTTGGGCTTGGACTCCCAGCACAGCTGAAGTTGCCCCCATCCTGAGTCTCCCTTTTAGTTTCTCAAACACCTTAGGTGTGACTTCAGTGTCCAACTGTGTTCAGGTCTCAGATCCACTAATTAATAACGGTGTAACCTTCAGTAAAATCGAGTAATGCCATTTCCTCTTCTGGAGAATGGGAATGCTAATACTAACATCAGGGGCATTTGAGAAAATCCAGCAAGATGACTATAACGTCTGTAAAGCATTGAGCACAGTGCCCAGTGGCTAGTAGCCACTCGGGACAGGCTAGGTGCTATACTTCTCTTCCCCCTCCAGGCTGCAAGGTGAAGCAGAGTCACTTGACCTCCTAGCTCCACCCCTTCTCTTCACATATTCTGTGGGGCCCTGGAAGCTATTGCTGCTGGAACTTAGCAACTGGGTAGGTCGGAGAAAGTGGGGCAGGTATTAGAACTGGTGCTTGGGATCCTACCCAGTACTAACACGTTTCTCTCTGTGGCACATATTCATCCAGTTGCGGAACCTAAATGCCTCAGAGAGGCTCTTGCCTCCTGCCTCTCACTCCTCTCCCACACTCTTGACATTCCATCTCACAGTGGCTCCTGGTCCGACTACTTCTCATTCCTTTCTGCTGCTGTCCAACAGTATGTCTTTGCTCCAGCCCCCCTCAGCTCATGCAGTGTTACACAGCCTTCCTCCATGCTGGCTGCCAGGATAATCTTTCTAAACCAACCTGACCATGTCACTTCCCTACTTAAAATCTCCTATTTTCAGGACTGAGTATCAACTACTCAGCTTGTCATTGATCCAACAAGTATGGGGGCTGGGGGACGTACTTTATGCCTAAGCGTTCTTATGGGCACAAAGATACAGCAGTGCACCGAGCACAGCGAAAGCCCTGCCCACACGGAGGGGGCTTACATTCTAGGGGCCCTTCACAGTCTGGACCCCAGCATCCCTTTACAGCCTTATCTCCCCGCAACTCCCTTCCAGCCCACCTCCCTCTCACACGCCGGGCACTCTGGTCTCTTCTCCTGCCAAGCCTGCCCACGCTCCCCATGTTAGACTAGTCTCCTCCTCTCAGATCCCTCCATTCCCCCTGCCGCGCCGCTGCAAGACCTAGGGCTCCCCGGCAAACTGAGGCCCCTCTTCCTGCCAACTAAAGCCCCGTGGCCCCTCCCCTGCCCCTCGGGGATTGTGAGCTAACAGCCGAGGGTGGGTGGTGAGAGGCTTGGGACGGCGCGGCTCTCCCTCGCCTGGGCTGGCCCCTCTCCACCGCCCAGGAAGCGGGGAAGGAGTGCGGGCCCCCACCCCATCTAAGAATGTCTGGTCCCCAGGTAAGCAGCCGCAGCGTCGCACGCCCCTCCCCCAGGGTGCTGTCGGCGACCACGGCCCTTGGGGGTAGGAGCTGTTCCGAAGCGCGGGCGCCCAGCCCCGGCTCCGTCTGGCTCCGTCTCTTCCATCTTTTCGCCTGGGCGTCGTCGCCATCGCTGTTGTCCAGGACCGACGCGGCACAGCCGGCAGGGGAGGGGCGAGGAGGGGAGCGCCGGTGTCTCCAGCTCGGACAGACCGGCGTCGGGAGGAGGCCGGCTCCCTGTCGGGCTGCTGGCCTCTAGGGTGGCGGGATGGATTGGGGGCGGCCAGTGGGGGGGCGGGGCGTTTCTAACTCGAGGGGCTGTGCGCGTGGCTCACCGCCCGCGGGGGAGCGTCGCCTGCGGCCTTCTCGCTCCAACGCTGCGCGGGTTTCCAGGCAAGGCACCGACTTCGCCACGCCTTGCCTCTCCTGAGAAATCGCCGGGTCCCACCCAACTCTCCTCTCTTCTTCCGCTAGCAGCCCCAGCGTCGGACATTTCTGCTCGCTCACCTCGTTCTCCTCACTCACCAGTCTCATGGCTGGTTTCCTTTTCTTCAGCCTCTCCCCTCGAGACCACCCTCCACCCCCAACCCACATCTGATCAAGACACCCCCTTACCAAATAAACATCACTGCCCGCCCAGCGGCAAGGCAAGGTCACAGCAGCTATCACAACTGTGGCCTCCCTGCCGGCTTTGCCTCCCGGCAGCCCTGTCTCCCTGAGACCCAGCCTCCTCATTGGGCTTGCGCCCTTGCAATTTCCTTTGCCAGGAAGCACCCCCCCTTTGTTTATGCCCGGAGACCCTCCGTAAATATCACATTGGCCAAGCCTTCCCCTGCCCCCACCCCAGACTTAGTCTTCCCTGGACACCCTCAGCAACCGGACATCCCCTTGTCCAACCAGAGTTGCCACACTGCCGTCACCGTCCCTACACACATCTGCCTCCCCTACCAGACTCCCAGCCTCCTGAGGGTGCCCAGAACACACAGGCCTGGCGCACAGCAGGCATCGGCAGATAAAGATCATAAACGTTGGAGAGATGCTGGGTGTGCTGAGGGGCTGGATTGCTCACTTGAGAAGGCTTCTCACAGGACAGACTCGACAGGCTTGGAGTGATTCCGTGCGGGGAGAGGATCTCGGGCAAGCACCAGAGTGCTCTATTAATTTAACAATCATTGAACAACTTCTGTTGTCAGGCCTCATGCCGGGCACAGGGGACCTCGGTCGGCACTCAAGTTCCTTCCCCTGTAGTACAGAAGGAAGACCACATAGGCAGTGCCAATACAGAGTGCCAAGTGTCACGCGGCGAGCACAAGCAGATGTGGCAGTGCAGAGGAGGAGCAGCTCAAGACTTGAGGGGGTGTCAGGCTTCCCAAAGAGGCCCACCACCCAACCCAAGACCAGAGCGGGGCAGAGAAGGGGTCATGGGGCAATGGAGAGAGGAGGCTGAGAGTCGAGCAGGCTTCGTCACGAAGGGCTTGCATACCACATGAAGGAGCTGGACTCCATCCTGAGGGTGTTGGGGAGCCACTGATGGCTTCCGAGGAGCCGGGGAGTGACGTGAGCTAGTCTTGCAGGCCACTGCTGGGCAAGGCCTCAGCTCTGACCCCCTCCTCTGAGACGCCTCCTCTGAGCCCCCTGACAGGCAGGGCCCCTCTTCTGTGCTCCCTCAGCAGCCTTGTCACCTCCTCTTTTGTGCAGGGTTGAATGCCTCTGCCAGACTGAGCTTTTTGAGAGATGAGACCAGGTCTTAATCTTCTCTGTCCCAAGACCAAGTGCTGAATGAATGGATTTTTCCTTTTTTCTCTAAATTTCAACAGCTCTTACTCTCAGCTCCACATCCTTCCATACCTGGGGCCTGTGCTGCAAACGGCTTTTAATTGGGAAAGAGGAGGCCCAGTTCCAATCCCAGCTCCACCATTTGCTGGAACAAGTTGCTTAACTGTTCTGAAACCTCAGTTTCCCCATTGTTAAGATGAGTTACCACCATGAACTGTCTGTAAGTCTCCACAGGCATGCATGAGTCTTGTTTTCCTGAACAGACTGTAAATTCCATGGTCCAGGCAGGGACCAAGGGCTTTCCCCAGCACCTTGCTCAGTCTGAGCTTACAACGAATACTACGATCAGTCCTGTTGGTTGGTAGACAGCAGAGTACACAGGAAAGAACACTTACGGTGAAGTTGGAAGTCTTGTTCTGCCACTTCCAGTGTGACCTTGAACAAGGTTCTTCCCCTCTCTGAGTCTTCTTTGCCTTACCTGGCAGACCTCACAGGGCCATTGGAAACCACAGAGGTGAAAGTGCTTTGTGAATGAAAGAGATACTATAGTAGACAATTAATTGCACATTAATTAAAAAAAAACCAGGGACTTCACTGGTGGCTCAGTGGTTGAGAGTCCGCCTGCGGATGCAGGGGATGCGGGTTCGTGCCCCGGTCCGGGAAGATCCCACATGCCGCGGAGCGGCTGGGCGCGTGAGCCATGGCCGCTGAGCCTGCGCGTCCGGAGCCTGTGCTCCGCAACGGGAGAGGCCACAACAGTGAGAGGCCCACGTACCACAAAAGAAAAAAAACCAAACCATGTAGTAGTATAGATGAGGTGTGTCTCGTACTTGGTGGACACACCCCAGGTATCTGCTGACTGCCTCTGAGATGCTGGGATGCTGCTCTTCCAGGTGCAGACTAGGCTGGAACAGAGGTGCTTGGTCTTGCTCGGGTCAGCCCTGAGACTCAAGACAGACCAGGAGGGAAGGGTTGATAGGGAGGGAGCAGGCATCCAATCCTTTGCCCCCCTCCCATCCCAGATTTCTCGGACTAGCATTGCTTCCCTGTCTTAGGTTTTGAGGGGACCCGGCATGACAAGGTCTCAGGAGTCCCAGTGGCTTTGGCATTGTAGCTACTGATACCCTTGGTGGATGAAGCTGGCCTATGGGAGCAGTTAGCTCCACCGTGCTGCCTGATAAACTCCCAGCCCCAAATTCCAAGTCCGGCCCCCTCTCAGCCTCTGACATACTGGTGGCAGTATTTATGGGAAAGGACCATGATTTGTCTTAGCTCTTGCCCAGACCAGAAGGGCCTGGGGCTGTACAGAGGGGCTGTATGGAGGCAGAGTCTCAGCTTCCTCACCTCGAAAATGAGTGGGGATTAAATGAGAAAACATCTTGGAACCTGTACATTTTACTCATGTGCAGGATTGCTATTTGTGGGTAGTGTGTTTACAACCAGTGGGGCCTCCCTGTTTCAGAGAACGCTGGGGCTCTTTCTCCAAAAGAAAGTTTCACAGACAGTGTATGTGTAAGGAGTGCCCATGTTTGGTCTTAGAGCGAAAACAGACACAGAGAGACTGTGAAAATGGCCAGGGCCAGCTGATTCCCTGCTGCTGAGAGAGGCTGAGGGAAGGGAGGAGGCCTGGGCAGGGCCTACTCCTGCACGGGGAGGCCGTAGCTGCCCAGCCAGACTGGCCATCCGAGCTCCCTCATTGCCCGCACAAACCTCCTGCTGCTGAGATTATGCCCCCTTTAAGAAGCACCAGATTTAGAATCAAACAGGAGGGATTGGGCTTCCCTGGTGGCGCAGTGGTTGACAGCCCTCCTGCCGATGCAGGGGACGCGGGTTCGTGCCCCGGTCCAGGAAGATCCCACATGCCGCGGAGCAGCTGGGCCCGTGAGTCATGGCCGCTGAGCCTGTGCGTCCGGAGCTTGTGCTCCACAACAGGAGAGGCCACAACAGTGAGAGGCCCACGTACCGAAAATAAATAAATAAATAAATAAAACAGGAGGGATTGATTCTCCTCACCTAATGTGTGACTTTGAGCAAATACCTCCATTTCTCAGGACCTCAGTTCCCTCATTCATGAAACGGGGAGAATTATAGCACCATCTCCTAAGGTTGTCAGGATCAGAAGAGAGAACGTGGTGGGAGTGCCATGTGAATTATTTAGCGCTGTCCATATTCATTTTCTGTTGCTCATCTCTTCCCCTGTTAACACTTGGGACACCTCAGCCACAGCCCTGTCTTTCTGAGGGAGTGAGCGTGGCCTCCAGGACAAAGGAGCCTGAGTCTGCAGCGGGCCCTTTGTGCTTCCTTCCCTTCAGGTGGCCTCTCTCCCCCTGGGCCACTCCTGGGGGTGAGGGGGTTACCCCTTCCCAGTGTTTTTGTTCCTGTGGGGCTCACTCCAAAGTATTAAAAGTAGCTTTATAATTAAAAAAAAAAAAGGAGGGCTCATTTATGATAAAGGTCTCTATGACAAGGGCTCATCTCTCAGATGGGGGAAGGGCGCATACCCCTTGGACCCTGGGCCATGGGAGTGCCAGGAAGGTCAGCATATGGGCTAGAGGGAGGTCTGTGCTGTAGGGCAAGGGGTGTAGTCATAGAGGGGTGGAAGCTATGATCGTGATGGTTCACTCACTTTGCTATTGAACTTCCCCAGGCGCTCATCTTCAGCACCTTTGTCTTACCTCCTGGGTCTCCTCCATCTACCAATATGAAACCATGTTGGGAGGGCGCAGCTCTGGGATGAGGTCTAGGGGAACAGGAGCTACTGGGTCCCTGGGAACCTCTTTTGGGACTCTTTGACCTTGACAACCCCTTGTCCCTCTCCCCTGGGCCCCAGGTCAGCACACCAGTTTCTTCCTGACCAAAGAGCAGAGCCACGCCCAGATGAATGAATTTTCCTGGAAGGATGTTGCCAGTGCCTTGTCCGTGGCCAACATGATCCTGGGGCTCTTATCCATCTTCTGCAGTTTCTGCAAGTAGGTCTGGGGCCCAGCAAGCTCTTAGCCAAGAGCTGGAGCCAATGGCATGAGGGAAGGAGTGAGGAGTCTAGAGAGCCAAGCTCTGAGGCGTACAGATCAACTGGGGGCAGGAGAGAGTGCAGTAGGTTGGGAGTCAAGGGGTCAAGATCCTGGCCTCAGTTCTACCACCAGCCTGATATGTGACCTTAGCTAGGTCATATCCTGAGCCTCAGTTTCTCCATCTTTAAAACAAGCAGCTCACACTATGATCTCTATAGTTCCTTCCAGCTATGTCAATCTAGAATGGTTTTATGAGAAAATCAAGAGATTTTGAGATTTCTGTTCTGGTAGCCTTTGCACAATCCTTGGGTAGGCAGGCGACCATTAAATTTTTTTGATTGTTAAATTAGAGCATATGATCCGGCAGAATATTTGAAATTAGCACTGTTCTGGAAACTCTGAGACATGTATATGGCCCCCCCAAAAAAGCTGTAGGCAAATTATGTTTCTATAAATTGAATCATATTTCAATGGCTTTGGGAAATCAGCTCTTTAAAGATAAGTCCTTTATAATGCAAATAACATACTCCTAATCTGTTTGATTCTTTATAACCATGACCAAGTGACTTCTCTGGATCTGTTTCTCAACCATAAAATAAGAGGATTTTACCTGATTATGTTTAAGTTCCCTTCCAGTTTGAAAATTATATGATTCTCTAAGTCTGGGTTTTTGGGGTCTCATAAAGTGGGGCATACCTGCAGCAGAAAATCGCTGTCTTCTTAGTTCAACCTAATCTTCTAGGAGTGTAGTTTTTATGCCATAATAGTGGGCCCAATTCCCTTTAGACACATAGGTATGGGTCTAAACAAAGGAAATACTAAGGTTGTTTGGGGACAGCTGAGGTCTGGGGTCAGGCTCTCTGTTTGCTTCTGCTGGGCCACCCAAGCATTGCAGTCAGGGTGTCAACTTGCGTATGGCCTCCTAGGGCAGTTTGGTCTGAGATTGTGGTAGCTGATTTCAGGAGTCTGGGAGCATGTGCTGGAAAGAAACATAGAATCCTTGAATGTAGGGTCTGAAAGGTATCTTAGAAGTCATTCAGAGCATCAAAATACATGAGACAAAAACTGATATAACTACAAGCAGAAACTGATGACTGTATTATCATAGTTGGATATTTCTATACCCCTTTATCAGTAATTGATAGATCCAGCAGGCAGAAAATCAGTAAGGATATAGTTGAATTGAACAGCACCATCAATCCACTGGATCTAATTGATATTTATAGCATACTTCATCCAACAGTAGCAGAATACACATTCTTCTCACGATCACCAAGATAGACCACATTCTGGTCTGTAAGACATACCTTAACAAATTAAAGAAAATAGAAATCATACAAAGTATGCTCTGAGGCCATATGGAGTTAAACTAGAAATTAATAACAGAAAAATAACTAGAAAATTCCGAAATAAATGGAGGTTAAACAACTCACTTCTAAATAATACATAGATAAAAAAGGAGTCTCAAGAGAAATTTTAAAAAAAATATTTTGAACTAAAAGAACGTGAAAATACAACTTATCATAATTTGTGAGATGCAGTAAATGCAGTACTTAGAGGGAAATTTATAGCATCGAATGCATATATTAGAAAAGAAATCTGCTCTGTAAAAGACCACATCAAGAGAACTAGAAGACAAGCCACACACTGGGAGAAAATATTTGCAAAAATACATCCAATAAAGAACTACAGTCCAAAATATACAAAGCTTTACGCTCATCAATAAGAAAACAACCCAATTAAAAAAGGGCCAAAGACCTTAACAGACATCTCACCAAAGAAGATATCCAGATGGCATTTAAACATATGAAGAGCTACTCCACATCATATATCATCAGGGAAATGCAAATTAAATGGCAATGAGATACCACCATACACCTATTAGAAGGACCAGAATCCAGAACACTGATAGCAACAAATGTTGCTGAGGATGTGGAGCAACAAGAACCCTCATTCATTGCTGGTGGGAATGCAAAATGGTACAGCTACTTTGGAAGACAGTTTGGTGGTTTCCTACAAAACTAAACATACTCTTACCATATAATCCAGCAATCACACTCCTTGGTATTTACCCAAATGAATTGAAAACTACGTTCAAAACCTGTACTTGGATGTTTATGATGTTTTATTCATAATAGCCAAATCTTGGAAGCAACAAAGATGTCCTTCAGTAGATGAATGGATAAATTGTGGTACATCCAGACAATGGAATATCATTCAGTGTTAAAAAGAAATGAGCTATCAAGCCCTAAGAAGACATGGAGGAACATTAAATGCATATTATTAAGTGAAAGAAGCCAATCCCAAAAGGCTACATATTATATGACTCCAACTATATGACATTCTGGAAAAGACAATATGTGTCCAAAAATATGGAGACAATAAAAAGATCAGTAGTTTCCAGAGGGGTTTAGGAAGACATAAATAGGTAGAGCACAGAGGATTGTTAGGGCAATGAAAATGCTCTATATGATATTATAATGATGGATATATATATATATCATTATACTTTTATCCAAAACCATAGAACGTATAACACCAAGAGTGAGCCCTAAGGTAAACTATGGACTTTGAATGACTACAGTGTGTCAGTGTAGGTTCATCCTTGGTATGTACCAAGGCCAGAATGCACCATTCTGGTGAGTGATGTTGATAATGGGAGAGGCTATGCATATGTGGGGCTAAGGGGTATATGGGAATCTCTGTATTCCTCTCAATTTTGTTGTAAACCTAAAACTTCCCTAAAAAAATAAAGTCTTAGAAAAAATGGAAAAGAAGGAAGATCTAAAATCAATTATGTAAGCTTCCACCTTAGGAAACTAGAAACAGAAGAGCAAATTAAATCCGCAGTAAGCAGAAGGAAAGAAATAATAAAAATTAGAGCAGAAATCAATGAAATCGAAAACAAGAAATCCATTAAAAAAAATCAATGAAACCAAAACCTGGTTCTTTGAAAAGATCAATAAAATCAATAAACCTCGGGGCTTCCCTGGTGGCGCAGTGGTTGAGAGTCCACCTGCCGATGCAGGGGACACGGGTTCGTGCCCCAGTCCGGGAAGATCCCACATGCCGCGGAGCAGCTGGGCCCGTGAGCCATGGCCGCTGAGCCTGCGCGTCCGGAGCCTGTGCTCCACAACGGGAGAGGCCACAACAGTGAGAGGCCCACATACCACAAAAAAAAAAAAAAAAAAAAAAAAAAGAAAGAAAGAAAAAAATCAATAAACCTCTAGCCAGGCTAACCAAAAAAAAAAGACAAGACACAAATTACCAGTGTCGGAAATGAAAGTGGAGGAATCATTACACGGACATTAAAAGCATAGGAAAGGAATATTGTGAACAGCTCTATGTCCACAAACTTCATAGCCTAGATGAAACAGACCAACTCCTTAGAAGATACAAGCTACCAAAACTCACCCTAGGAGAAACAGATAATCTAAATAGGCCTATGCTTATTAAATAAATAATTTGGTACAAACACTTCATTTTATAGATGGAGGAACAGAGACCTAGGAAGGAGGAGTGGTTTATCTGAGATGGTTGTAGAGGCTGGACTAAGGCCTAGGACCCCCCTGGCCACTGAATGTGCCTGGAATTTAGAACTGAAAGGGACCTTGGTGATTAGCGAGGGGGTTGAGAGCACCCCTTTAAGACTGTGGGTTGAGAATGAGTATGGAAGGGATGTAGATATGTGTGAGGGTGTGTGTGTGTGTGTAAAGCAGCACATATCAGAAAGGATGTGAGTGTGGGGAACACGTAGGGGTGTGTGTATGTGTGCTAGCGTAGGAAGCATATAGCGGGAGGGGGGTGGAGTCCAGTGGAGACTATGAAAGAGCCGCCCTTTGGGGCCTGCTGGCCTGCATTTTAGGAAGTCCCCCTGTGCCTCCTGGATGCTTCTGGTCAGCTTTCTATTAGACATGGCTATCGGGGCAATGACGAGACACCTCAACATCTGCTCCACATCAGGTGAGTCCAGGCCTCAGACTCATAATCCCTGACCCCAGGAGCACCCATTCAGGTCAGCTTCTCCATCCTCTGAAATACAGCAGGCTTCCTTGAGTCACCACTCCTGTTCACATCCCTCTGAGTGTAGCAGAAGCAGCCCTTGAACAGGAGTTTGTGAGCCCCACAGTCTAGATCTAGCTCCTCTGCTGGTTCGCTTATTGATCGCTGGCTGTCTTTGTCCTGGCCTTCAGTGGGCTTATCTGCCCCGTCTCTCTCTTCAGGGCGGATCTGGGAGTGGGAGTGGTGGTTGTGGTCACGGGGGAGTGGGGAAATGAAAAATTACCCCAAGCAGAGCTGCTGGTTTAAAATATGACAAAATATTTCCATGCAAGATTTTGCTTGAAAAAAAAGGGTTCCACAGCTTATCGATACGTTCCCAATTGTGGTCCAACCCTTGCGTGCTAAAGGACGGGAAAACTAAGACCTCGACAGGGAAAGACTTGTCTAAGGCCATGTGGTCAGTTTGAGGCAGAGCCAGAAGGAGATCCTAGTCTTTGATCAACAGGCCCCCCTGGGGAGCAGCTGTTGCCCTCTGGCCCCTCAGGGACCTGACAAACAGGATCCCGCTTGTCCTCACTCCAGCTCCCCCACTAGAAGGGACTAAAGTATAAGACATATGAGTGTAAGTTCTTCTAACCTTGGCCTTCTGGAACAGGAGCCAAGCTGAATGACTTTGCTGTCTTCACCACCTTTGGCCTGGCCTCAGCCCTGCTTCTAGGCATGGATGGGCCTCTGAATGGCTTCCTGGCCATCATCTATGTGTTGGCTATTTCAGTCCGCCTCTGTTTCTATTCAGCTGGTGAGTGGAAGCCAGCCTTATGGCTGAGGGTAGGGAACCATGGAGGGGAGAAGCTGTTGGATGCCGGAAGCGTGAGGTGCAGTAATTGACTCCTTTCCTTCATTTTACGGAGACCCCCTTCCTTCCTTCTCCCCTGCTCTGGGCCCACTGGAGACTGAAGGCTGCATTGGCAGAGACCTGTTCTAGGGGGCGGGAACCCTTGGTTCTTGAACCAGCTGTGCCTTTTTCTTGTAGTGTGACCTTTGGATGGAGCATATGAATTCACAGACTCTAGAACTAGAGGTCATACTCCAGTTTCCCATAACAGATGGAGAAACTGAACTCTGGTGAGGGTAATTACCTTGCCTAAGTTCACAACGCAAGGGATTGCAGATGCAGACAGGAAGATCTCAAAGGACCCCTCTACAGAGGCTTCCTAGGGGCCAAGGCATAGGCCTGGTCCTAGCTGCCTGCTCTACCTTGAGGATCTAGTGCAAAACCCACACATCATCTCTAAATAACTAAGTGCTTCCTGGCTGGCCACTGCCCTGGGATTAGGGGATTTGGAATGTGGGGCAGGGAAGACCCAAAGAGAGAAGGGCTTCCTCTGGTGGGTGCTTTAGAGCAGTGAAGCAAACCCCATCTTTTCTTTCCCTGCAGGCGTTCCCTTCACATACAAGGGTCTACCCTGCCCCTATGCTTCCTGTGTTTTGGCCTCCACCTCCCTCCTGACCAAAGGCAACACATTCATTCTCTCTTGCATGGCCACATTCATGATTCTATTCATGATGGACGAGAGCTACTACCCACATGACGAAATCCTGGAGTCTGAGAACTGGAAAAAAATGGTCTATCTGGGAGGTGAGTGAAAATACTGCTCTTAAATGTCACTAGTGATCATTTATTGTCACTGCTGCTCACTGCTACCCTGTACCTCGTCCCCACATTCCCCCTCTGTTTCACCCTGCTTTACTTTTCTCCATAGAATTTATCATCACCTGATGTGTATTTACTTGTTTGTTGTCTATACACACTAAACCTGCCCACCCCCCCATAGAAGATTCTTTTTTATTTGTGCTATAATTCCTAGTACCTAGGATTGTGCCAATCACATAGTAGATGCTCAATAAATATTTGTTGGATGTCACTAAGTTCAACAGAAATTTAGGGAACACTGACCATATGTGAGGTGCTAGCAATCAAATCGGTAAACCAGGCAAATACTTCCTGCCTCAGGATTTACAGTCCGATAGGGGAGACAGACACCAAACAAATCATGGCTGAAATAACTAAAAATATATAGTTTTGATGTGCTGTGAAACTATAGGGTGCTCTCAGAGGGCATCAGAGGGTGACCTAATTTAGACTGGAATGCCTTAAGGATGGGAAAGGATCCTTAAGGAAGTGACATTTAAACGAAATCTGGGTTAAAGTGGTCAAAAGGTAAAAACTCCAGTTACAAGACAAGTTCTGGGCATGTAATGTACAGCATGGTGGCTACAGTTAACAATACTGCATTGGCTTTTTGAAAGTTGCTAAGAGAGTAGCTCTTAAAAGTTCTCATCACAGGGAAATAATGTATAACTATGTGAGGTGACGGATATTAAGTAAATTTATTATGGTTATCATGTTGCAATATATACAAGTATCAAACCGTTGTTGTTACACTTTGGACTAATAACAATGCTATATGTCAATGATATCTCAATAAAACTGGAAAAAAATTTAAAATACATGAAAACTGCAAGATGATTGGCCAAGTGGTGGGAAGGATGGTTCAGAAAAGGAAACAATTTTTGATGCTCTGAGGCAAGAACAGCCGGATGCATTAGTGCACCAGTGTGGCTGGACTTGCTGAGAGAGGGCTTGTGACAGACTGAGGCCAGCGAAGTGAGCAGACTGGGCAGGATTGGGGATTGGATCCTGTAGGCAAATGACAAGCCTTTGAAGGGATTTCTGAGCCACAGTTTTAAACGATCACTTGGACTGTAATGAAGAGAATAGATTGTAGGAGACTAAGAATAGAAGTAGGAAAACCAGCTTTTTGTCAGATGAGAGGTGATGGTTGCAGTGGAGATGAAGAGATTTGGCATAAATGTCAAAGTGACATAGTTAATTCATATGAATTGCATTTCCATCAAAGTATTACCACAGTCAGGTTGGTAGGGATTTCGGTTGACATTTGTAATTGAGTTTGATACAGTAACACAGGGACAAAGTTGGTTTGGTCAACTTTGAAGCATGCAAAGCTAAACTCACCTGTCATCTAAACTGGCCCTGTGTGGGGCTAGCTTCTGCTATTAAATCTCACATTGTTACTTGTTCTCCAGACTTCTGCAACAAAGTTAAAGGGGAAGAATAATATCTCACGTTTGTAGTACTTCCATAAAGTTCCTTCACACATTACCCAGTCGATCTCATTATGACAGAGGGTGAGAGGCATTATTATTCCTCTCTTAAGGTAATAAACAGGCTTTTAAAAGTTAGGTGACTTGCCCAAGGTCACACTGCTGATAAGTGGCAAAGTATGGACTTTTCTAAATCCATGTCTTGGGACTTCAAATCCCATGTTCATTCTACTACATCACAGCGGTATCCATTACAGGATCACTCATGCATTTCCATTCCAGAGGAGGCAGGACAACCAACAAATCTGTATTCTGGGGGGTAATAACCAACTGTCCTAGGCAGTCAGAATATTATAAGTGTCAGTGTAGGGAACTGTTCACTATTCAAGTTTCCAGGCCCACCTTGCAAGCAGGCTTTTCTAAGGATAGCAGTCTCAGGCCTGCTATGTTAATTCTTTTCTGCATGCATAAAATATTTTATTGACCCTTATCTCATGTTAAACTTGAAACAATTAGGAATATTTTTTTTTTCTTTGTTTTTTTTTTCTAACAAGAGATCTGGGCAACTCAGATTTATTCTTGGCTAAGACTGACTTCTGATCTGAATTTGACAAAATGGAGCCTGAGATTGCCTTAGATTGTAATTGTCTAGTTACACAGGGACAAACTCTGCAAAGGCAGGGATCACGTGTCATTGGTTTTAGTGTCTTAGGCGCTGTGAGTAAAAACTGAAGGCCAAGGCTTCCCTGGTGGCGCAGTGGTTGAGAGTCTGCCTGCCGATGCAGGGGACACGAGTTCGTGCCCTGGTCCGGGAAGATCCCACATGCCGCGGAGCGGCTGGGCCCGGGAGCCGTGGCGGCTGAGCCTGCGTGTCCGGAGCCTGTGCTCCGCAACGGGAGAGGCCACAACAGTGAGAGGGCTGCGTACAGCAAAAAAACCCCAAAAAACTGAAGGCTGGAAAGATGGGAATGGGAAGTACAGGGTAGAAAATACACATAAGACAGCTTCATAAAAATTGAGTGTTTGCCTTTTCTCTTCCAGGTGTCATCATGGTGTTTTTGTCTCCATTGTCACTAACTGCTTTTTACTGCCTGATGTGGTCACTCTCCTACATCTTCTTTCCAGATGCTCTGTGGCACAAGGCAGCACATCTTAAGCAGCAGCACCGAAGACACTAAACAGCCTTACGCACTCCCGCTGGCCTCTGTGGGGTTTCTGCCAGCATGTTGGGCCAAGCCTCGCCTTACCCTTACTAAATGTTTCCTTGTCCCTATGTTGTGTATGTGCTAGATACATGTTGCCTTGAACCACAGCAACCCACAGTAGGGCCAGCGGCCTATATACTTCTTCCTCTTTATTCAGGGTTCTGAATCTCTTGGGGACGAGTTGTTTATGTCATACAGAACAGAATTTTTTCCAAGATAAATTTGGGCTGGGCTTGAGTTCCATCCCTGTTACCAGCTGGGTGAACTTGTGCACTCAGGTTAGTCCCTTGGAAATGAGTGAAACCTTTCAGAGTTGGTCTAGCCTCCACCTTGGTCCTGCCTGAATGTAATTACTCCAGTGGTGAGGTGGGGCTTACTAACGCATTTCTTAAATTTACAGACTCTGGCTCTGTAGCGCGGAGCTGATAGCAGCCAATCACATTGCCCAATTTGTGTGTAGGATTTTGTAACTTAAAATTCCATATTTCCACAATCAAAGCTTCTGCCTTTTGCTTTGTTTAGAGATTAGACACATTGGCATCCTGAGGCCATCGTCTGGTCTCCAGGATCTCAGTATGTGTTCTTTTCCTAAGCTCTAAAATACTAAACTCTAGATATTCAAAGGGCACTTCATATTCTAAAATCCAAATTGAATAGAAATAAAATTGTATGCAGCCCTAAAGCGGCACCTCACAAAGAACTGAGGCCCACTGAAAGCCATGCCCCCGGCACTGCCTCTGGACTTTCCATCTCCAGATGGTGAACCAGATTATTGGCTTAGTTCCGCCCCTTCCTCAACTAGGGCACCAGAGCACCTTTACCTCGGGTCTGACTTCTTTTGCTTTTCTTTTTTTTTTTTTTTTTTTTTGCGCTATGCGGGCCTCTCACTGTTGTGGCCTCTCCCGTTGCGGAGCACAGGCTCCGGATGCGCAGGCTCAGCGGCCATGGCTCACAGGCCCAGCCGCTGTGTGGCATGTGGGATCTTCCCGGACCGGGGCACGAACCCGTGTCCCCTGCGTCGGCAGGCGGACTCTCAACCACTGCGCCACCAGGGAAGCCCGGATCTAACTTCTTGAAGTTTGCAGAACAAAGTGTATGGCAAATATGCATTAAATCTAAAATTAAATGAAAAATAAAAGTCCAATGAAGTCCACATTGCTATTTGACTCTAAAGGAACAGACAGCACCCTCCTCTTCTCCACGGCTTTCTGTTTGTATCTCTGTTACACCATTTGTATTTTTTTCATGGTTAGATGAATATGTCTGTTTCCCACTAGACTTTCAGCTCCTTGAGTTTACATTTTCATATTTCTGCTGCCTGCCACAGTGCCCCACACTCAAAAACATTTACTTTGTTGATGAATTGATTTGGTTGTGCATTCTAGTGAGTTATATACAAGGTTACTATAATGTAGTAAGACTCTTACAAATATACATGGGCTCAGACATTTTAGTGTGATGTCCTTCAATGCTGAACCCTCATTTCACTGATGCTATCCTTCATCAAAATATTTTAGGAACTCCAGGTCGAGAAACGTCTTCACATAAGCTCTTAGAGGCCAGCACCTAGCACGGTGCCTGGACATAGTAGGTACTCAAAAAATACTTATTTTACTCTGAACCAACCAAATTTAGTCCAAAAACCTAATATTCAATATTAGCCAATGATGTCCTCTTTTTTTTTTTTTTTTTTTTTTGCGGTACGCAGGCCTCTCACTGTTGTGGCCTCTCCCGTTGCGGAGCACAGGCTCCGGATGCGCAGGCTCAGCGGCCATGGCTCACACGCTCAGCCGCTCTGCGGCATGTGGGATCTTCCCGGACGGGGGCGTGAACCCGTGTCCCCTGCATCGGCAGGCAGACTCTCAACCACTGTGCCACCAGGGAAGCCCGTGATGTCCTCTTCTTAAACCAAAACCACATTAGCTATCAGATTTGGCCTCAAATGATTTTTGGCTATATCTAAAACTTGAACTACATTCAAAGGAAAAAGATGCAATTCTGAAAGAGGATTTCCATGTCCATTTTGAGCCATAGCAGCAGAGCTAAAATAAATATGTAGACTTCCAAGAGGACTGCTTTGAACGGGAAAATACACATTTGATTGTATAAATTGTACTTTGTTTATAACAATAATAATCATACTACATTGCCTCAAAAAAATGTTTAGGTTAGCAATATGAGGATAGTTATAGGTCAGCTAAGAGCCTCTTGACTTAACAGAGGGACGTGTGCTTCCTTCTACCTATATGAAAGTAAGGCTACACTTCTACTCTGGCTCTGGGGTCTCAGGATGCTAATGCTAACCATTCAATGTCTTTACGTCCTTAGTCAGGAATCAAAATAAAAAATAGAACTAAAATAGAACTTGTTATAAAATTAACTAAATAAATAAAATAAAATATTCTAACATATAACAGATCTTAGGAACAAGTGGGAAGGCCAAGACTTAGAAAACATACTTCTCAAGCATCTTTTCTGATAACAATGGTATGAAACCAGAAATCAACTACAAGAAGAAAGGTGGGAAAAAAAATCACAAATATGTGGAGACTGAACAACATGCTACTGAACAACTATTGGGTCAACAAAGAAATCAAAGGAAAAATAAAAATTATCTGAAGACAAATGAAAGTGAAATTTTGACATGCCAAAACCTATGAGATGGGGGCTCCCCTGGTGGCGCAGTGGTTGAGAGTCCGCCTGCCGATGCAGGGGACACGGGTTCGTGCCCCGGTCCGGGAAGATCCCACATGCCACAGAGCGGCTGGGCCCGTGAGCCATGGCTGCTGAGCCTGTGCGTCCGGAGCCTGTGCTCCGCAATGGGAGAGGCCACAACAGTGAGACGCCCGCGTACAGCAAAAAAAAAAAAAAAAAAAAAAAAAACACCTATGAGATGCACCAAAAGTGGTACTAAGAGGGAAGTTTATAGTAATACAGGCCTACCTCAAGAAACAAGAAAAATCTCAAACACTCTAAGTTTACACCTGAAGAAACTAGAAAAAGAAGAACAAATGAAGCCCAAAGTCTGCTGAAGAAAGGAAATATTAAAGATCAGAGCAGAAATAAATGAAATAGAGACTGAAAAGACAATAGAACAGATCAATGAAACTAAGACCTGGTTCTCTGAAAGATAAACAAAACTGACAAACCATTAGCTAGACTCACTAAGAAAAAAAGAGAGAAGGTAATGATAAATAAACTCAGAAATGAAAGAGGAGAAATAACAACAGATACCACAGAAGTACAAAGGATCAGAAGAGAATATCATGATCAAGCTATACATCAACAAACTGGACAACCTAGAAAGAATGGATAAATTCTTAGAATCATATAGTCTTCTAAGAGTGAATCATGAAGAAACAAAATCTGAATAGATCGATCACTGGTGCAGAGATTGAAACAGTAATCAAAAACCTCCCCCAAAACAAAATTCCAGGGCCAGATGGCTTCACAGGTGAATTCTACAAAACATTCAAAGAATTAATACCTATCCTTCTCAAACTATTCCAAAAAATAGTTGAAAAGGAGGGAGCGCTTCCTAACTATTTTACAAGGCCCACATCACCCTAATACCAAAACCAGACAAAGAAAACACACAAAAAGAAAATTACAGACCAGTATCACTACTGAACACAGATGCAAAAATCCTCAACAAAATATTGGCAAACCAAATACAACAATACATTAAGGATCATACACCATGATCAAGTGGGATTTATCCCAGGGATGGCAGGATGGTTCAACATGCACAAAGCAACCAATGTGCTACACCACATTAACAAAACGAAGTATGAAAACCACATGACCATCTCAATAGATGCAGAAAAAGCATTTGACAGGATTCAACACGCATGTATGATAAAAACTCTCAATAAAGTGGGTATGGAAGGAATGTACCTTGATGTATTAAAGTGCATATATGACAAACCCACAGCTAACATTATACTCGATGGTGAAAAACTGAAAGCTGAAACAAAAGCTTCATGAAACAATATCCTTACCACATGTGCTATTTTACAATCTATTATTTCATTAAAAAGAAAAGCTGGTCACAATTTATTCAACTGATTTTACAACCACCTAGTTTGCAATACTAGAAAACTTCTCTAGGATGAACTATATCCAGGGCTGCGACATGTTAATACAAGCAGTTCCCAACTAAGGATCAGAATCTTTCCAACCAATGCTCATATATTAATTGGTTATTTGAAATTTGAAACATATCCCATGAAGTAAGGTAGTTGGGAAGGAAAGTAATATTTACTGAGTAGTTATTAAATACATTATCTTACTTATTTCTCAATGAATGATCTTGAGAAGAAGAAAATATTATTCCATTACACAGATGGGAGAAGAGTGAGGCTTGGAGAGGTCAATAACTTATCCAATGCAGTAAAGATGGCTCTTGACCCCAAGTCATCTGACTCCAAAAACTGCTCTTTCTAGCATACTAATACATCATTTCCTTAGGTTTATGACAGCTTACTCCAAACCCCCATTTCTCCAAAACACAAAACTGAAAAATCTGCATTCAACCCAAATTCAGTAGGATCCTATAGAACCTAATTACTACTTATGGGGATAATCTATGTAGAGGTAATCCTTGACTATAACTTAGGCTCTCAAAACACATTCTCCACAGGGATAGCAAGCTCCTTAACTCCGCAGTTTATTCCTAAAACAAACACAACAATGGGAACAGAATTCTCAGTGACTTCAGAGCAGCAGGGAGACAAAGGAGATGGGAATTGCTGGAGATATTCCCAGCACCACTAGGGAAAATACAGGCATTTCCAGTGTGGAGAGTAATGGAGGTGGCAGTGTTGGCTCTTGTGCCCTCACTGAGCGATCTGCCTCATTTCCATATGTGTTCTGCTTCTAGGCCTGACAAGGTGAAAGATGAAAATGAAAAACCAAAAACGAAAATGGAAAACCAAAAGCGCCTCACTCCCCTCCCCCTGCTGGTACAAGCCTGCCACTAGCTGTTCACATTCATAGGGTGACAGGAATCCTAGCTTCAAGCCTCTAACCTGAGTTGTGGCTCATCTGGGAGCAGAGGCCACATATTTATACCCGTGTGGCTAAAACCTTAGGGTCTGCAGAGCTTTAGGCCCAGGAAGAATGAAATCTGGAAGCAGCCATGTTCTCTCTCTCCTCTCCTCTCCGCTCTCCTCCCGAAGGAGAAAGGGTCCCCTCTGCTCACCTCAACTTTGCCTGCCTAGTACGTTCTTTTGGACTCCACCATCTATGGCTAGGCGCCCCAACCCTAAAGTATGAGCAAACAAACACCCTATTAGTATTTTATTTGTAGTTTTGGAGATTTACAGTTTCACAAGAAACACTGATTTTTTTTCAAAAAATAGAAAAAGTTAAAAAAAAAAAACCTATTGTCTTGGAAGAACAGAACAAGTCTCTTCAGCAAGCAATGGGCCAATTCAGATCGGAGGAACTAGTGAAGTAAGTTAGATATAGGAAGTTCCGATTTATCGTTTCAGGAATAACACAAATGTCTTCTTGTCCAGTTGTGTAAGTTCTTGTCCAGATGGCTCCAAATGGGCCATCTCAGCTTAAGACTGGTAACACACAAACAAAACACAAACAAAGCCTCCAGGGTCCCATCGAGTGTGAACGCAGGGGTGGCTCACTCTCCAGGAGGCTGCATCTGTTTACAGAACTCATCAAACTGCTGCTGCTCCAGTTCTGTCATGACTCTGTTGAGGGCATAGATCTGAACGGGAGAAAAGACATGTTAGCAATGGAGGCAAATGCTTAGTGTATCTTCAGACACAAGAGGCTGTGTCATTTGAAAATGCCAGAACTGCATTGGTAACGCAGGGGCAGGAGAGGTAGACAGTAACTCCACTGGGGAATCAGATAAGAAGCAGTGAGGCAGGTGACTGATCAGGCCTTTAAAGGATCGGTAGGATTTGAACAGGTAGAGACTGGGGAAAGGACATAGGTGATGGGGGAGTGGATATTATGATTAAATAAATATAATGCAAAAGTACAGCATTAGTTCTGGAAACTTCAAGTATGCTAATATGGAAGATATCATGGGGCTTCCCTGGTGGCGCAGTGGTTGAGAGTCCGCCTGCCGATGCAGGGGACACAGGTTCGTGCCCCGGTCCAGGAAGATCCCACGTGCCGCGGAGTGGCTGGGCCCGTGAGCCATGGCCGCTGAGCCTGTGCGTCCGGAGCCTGTGCTCCACAACGGGAGAGGCCACAACAGTGAGAGGCCCGCGTACCGCAAAAAAAAAAAAAAAGATATCATGGAATGGGGTTTGGGGAGCTGGAGAAAGCAAGAAAAGTATGTTAGGGCCTTAAATGCCATGCCAAGGAATCTGGACTTTATCGGGCTGACTCTGGAGAGAGAAGTGTGCAGGGAAGCAAACTGATTATATCTGTGCTTTGAGAAAGAAAACTGGAGACCATGTGAGAGATGGAGTTGGGGAGGAGAGATTATAGGCATTAGGAGACACCTATTATAATAGTCCGGGAGGAGATAGTAGGAACATGACCCAGGGCAGGCAGTGGGGTGGAAAGAAAACTGTGAGAGACATTCTAAGGTGAAAGGCAGGGTGTCTACCTTATTGCTCACCTTGCAGTAATCAATTAATCCACCAAGGGAAGAGAAACAACATAAAGCTTCCACATTTGTATAGAAGAAAAAAAAGAAGGACCGTGTTTGTGTGTAGGGGATAAAACTTGAGTAATCAAAAAGAAGGGAAAAAAACCTGAGAAGTGAGACAAATAGAAAATACAAAATAAGAGCAGAAATGAATGAAAAAGCAACCGAATGTACAATAGAGAGGATCACCAAAACTGCAAGATGGTTCTTTGAAAATACTAAAGAAAACCCTGCAAACCTCTGACAAGACAGGTCGAGATAAGAAGGGAGAAGGCACAAACAAACATTATTAGAATTTAAAAGAAGCCATAATTACTGACACAATGGAGATTAAAATAAAACTTATGAACTCTGTGTCAATAAGTTTGAAAACTTAAATGATCAAAACTGACTAAATAGAAAGCTTGAATAATCCTACCATCTTTTTTTTTCCCAATTTTAAAAAATTTTGATAAGATTCTATAATCTTGGGACTTCCCTGGTGGCGTAGTGGTTAAGAATCCACCTGCCAATGCAGGGGACATCGGTTCGAGCCCTGGTCAGGGAAGATCCCACATTCCGTGGAGCAACTAAGCCAGTGCACCACAACTACTGAGCCTGTGCTCTAGAGCCCACGAGCCACAACTACTGAGCCCATGTGCCACAACTACTGAAGCCCGCGCACCTAGAGCCTGTGCTCCGCAACAAGAGAAGCCACTGCAGTGAGAAGCCTGCGCACAGCAATGAAGAGCAGCCCCCACTCGCCACAACTAGAGAAAGCCCACGCACAGCAACGAAGACCCAACGCAGCCAAAAATACATTAAAAGAAAAAAAAATCTATAATCTTTAAGTAAAACAGAATTCCACACAGTGATGAAAATGTCTCAAACAACAACACAAATGATTCTCAAAAAGCATAATACTGATAGTTAAAATGGTCAAGTTTTATGTATGTTTTACCATAAAACAAACAAACAAATAAATAAATCTACATGGATAAAAAAAAAAAAAAAAGATGCTGAGTGAAGAGAACCAGTCACGGAATACGGTAACATATATAAAGTTCGGAAACATGCAAAACTAGACAGTATAGTGTTATGCTATAAAATATTATTTAGGGGTACGCACAGAAATAGTAAATTAATACAGAACAGCAAGGGAGTGATTAGCATGAAATTAAGGACCGAGGGTACTGCTAGTGGGAAGGCTGGGGACATGACCAGAGTGAGGCCTGAAGGGCTTCTAAGTTACTGGTCATGTTCTATTTCTGTAGTTGGGTGTTTGTTTTATTCATCTTCTTTAAGTGCACAAACACATTTTATATATATTATTTATATGTATTATATAATTAAGAATATATTAAGTATGAATATATTTAATATATTAAGTATTATAAGTATTATGTATTAAGAATATATTAAGTAATTCATTAAGCAGAGAAAGAAGAGACTCAAAATGGGTCAAGGGTCCAAGCCAAGGAACGAGACTTTCAAGGACAGGATCACCAACAGTGCCAAATGCTGCTTCAGCTGCCAAATGGGCCTCTGTTCCCATTCACCCCTCTCATCTCTCCTTCTCATCTCACTTTCTGGAATGTGGCATCTATACAGAACTGAAGGGAAACTGTGTCTCCGCCTCCCCACAAGGGCTCTTGTCACATTCCTATCTTAGGAAACTGCATTCCAGGCAACACAGACAAAACAGCAAGGCAACTGTGGGGCAAAGCAGGGAGCAGGGGAGAAAGTCCAGAGACCTGTTTAGATGGCAGTCCTGCCCCTCTATCCCTTACTACCTAGGAATTCTGGTCCCAACACTTCACTTGAAGTGAGGATAATACTTTCTACCTCACAAGCTCATGTATGTGGTATCCCCCTTCCTTATTCCAGGAAGGATTTACAAAGGTCAGAGTGGGAGCAACAATAATGTACCCTGGTGTGAGGATTACATGTGGTGATGCATGTGCCTGGCACATCTGAGGAGCTCAACAAGGGCCAGCTGCAACGACAGTGCAAGTCCGGTATGATATCTTGGCAAATCAGCGCAATTCACCTTCAAGTCCGCACAATGAAAACACAGTGACTCCTGATAACAACCAGTCGCTGCCATTTCTGAGCGCTTTCTCTGGGCCAGGCACTGTCCTATGTGTTTTACATACATTTCTATTCCTTACAACAATCTTGTGTAATTGATGTTATCATCCTCATTTTACCAAAAAGGAACTGAAGAACTGAGGTTCAGAGAGGTTAAGTATCTTGTCCAAGGTGACCTGGGAAGAACTGGAATTTATGGAGGAGTTGGGGTTTGAAGTCAGACAAGTAAGTGTAACCTGTGGAACCTCACCGGCAGGGTGTCAGTAAACACATGAACAATGTCCTCAACAACATTATCGCTGCAGTGTGCACAAAGGACAGTTTCCTAGGGCTGTTTCTTACAGCGGCCCTCCAACTTTCACCAAAGTGCTGAGCAGTAAAACCGTCTGGGGGCCTGTGTCCAGGTGAAGATGGGGAGGTGAAGGAAAGAGGGGCACAATCTGTTAGAACCCAGGTCCACAGCTCTCAGACAGTCTGCCTTAATCCAAAGGCAGATTTCAGTTTATGGATTAATTTCAAACACACTATTAAGTTTACTTATTATGTTTATGTCGGCCTCCCCCGCTGAATGCACGCTCCACAAAGGCAGGGACTCCTCTGTTCCTACAACAGTGCCTGGCATGTAGTAGCAGTTCAATATTGTGAGTGAATGGATCAGATTAACAAAAATTTAAAGTCTGACACTATTAAGCATTGGAAAAGAAGTGAAGAATGAGAACTCTCTCACACTGCTAATGCAGGTGCAAACTTGTACATCTCTCTGAAAACAATTTGGCAACGTCTAGTAAATTTGAAAATGTACCCAATAATTCTACTTCTAGTTATATATGCCCTTCAGGAATTCCAGCACAGGTGCCCAAGGAGACATCTAAAAGTTTTTCACTACACCATTGGTTGTAACAGCAAAAAAAAACCCTATAAATTATTTAAACATCCGTTACCAGAAGACGGGGTAAATATACTAAAGTGCATTCATAAACTAGACTACTATTAGCAGTGATGAGGAATAAACTAGATTCTTACTTACATTAACATGAATAGTTCTAAAAAACATAAACAAAATAAAACACGTGGAATTAGTTTAATATAAGATTTTAAAACACAAAAGAACATTTTATATTGTTCAAAAATATCTACTAATATTTGAGTGTAAAAGTATAAAAAAAAATAGTGGTTGCCCACAGGGAGGGGAAAAGGAAATGGAGAAAGGGGACTTCAAATTTTTATGTAATTTTTACTTATCTTATTTAAAAAAGACTCCAGGCAAATATGACAAAATGTTAAACACTATCAATCTGGGGTACTGAGTACCCAGGTGTTTGTTATAATATTCTGCTTTTCTGTATTTTTAAATTTCTAAAAAAAAAAGAAAAGAAACAAGCAAAAGAAATAGAAAGAGGGAAGACTGCGGGAAGCTTTTTCCTGATATTAAATGCTAAAATAAAATATTCATGTAAACACTCAGGTTGATTTTTAAGTGCAGACTGAACAAAGGAACATAGTGTTGGGTGTAGAGCTTGGGCCTCTACTTCACAATTAGGAGGAGCAACTCTCCAGGCCAAATCCAGGACATCTGTACTAGGGTGTGTGACACTTGCTCTCTCTCACTCCCTTACAGGACCCCTCCCTTACATGTCCCTTTTTTTTTTTTTTTTTGCGGTACGCGGGCCTCTCACTGTTGTGGCCTCTCCCGCCGTGGAGCACAGGCTCCGGACACGCAGGCCCAGCGGCCATGGCTCACGGGCCCAGCCGCTCCGCGGCATGTGGGATCTTCCAGGACCGGGGCACGAACCAGTGTCCCCTGCATCGGCAGGCGGACTCTCAACCACTGCGCCACCAGGGAAGCCCGTCCCTTCTCTTTTTCCTTTCTTCCTTCCCTCAGGTCCTACCACAAAAGCTCTGCGCCAGGAGTCATCTGGAGGCTATCTGGTACCGGTCGGGGTTCTGACACGTGGCATGTGACTCTGGAATCTCAGTGATCTCCTCTGGAAACCTGGGATAACACCTGTTTTGGCTGGATTGGCTGGAGGCAGGTAGGGCTCCCCGTCACAGCTCTATCTCTCTATACCGGCATCATCTCCAGCAGACTACAGGTATACAGGCCCTCCTTACTCTCACCTCTGCTCTCTGTCTTTGCTTCAGCTCCTGCTGGGCTGATTTCTGCTTGGCCTTCTCAACTCTGCTGACAGCCTCTTTAACTTTGGTTTTTTCTTTACGTGCAGGTGGATCCATGACTTGGCTTCTGTATACTTCTTAGTCAGCTCCGACCTGGATGGTACAGAAGAAGGCGGATCTAAAAACAAAAAAAGAATGAACGAACGAACTTCCATTCACTAATGCCCTACCTCAGCCCCTTCCTTTGGCAGGGGAGGCAGACGGGCCGGGGGAAAAGGGCGCTGCATTGGAGGAGTAAGACCTGAGTCCCACTGCCACCACCTCGCTGGGTGTCTCTAGGCAAATCTCCTCCCCACTCTGAGCTTTAGTTTTCCCCGTCTGCACAATGGGACAACAGTCCATCCCCTAGCCCCCTCCCACGAGCTGCCGTGTGAGCACCAAATGCGAAGAGCCCTGTGAACGGTTTCCTACACTGTAGCGCGCTGCATCCAGCGTGGGACTGCCATAATTACGAGGACACCGCGACCCAGAGGGACCGACCGGCCGAAGTCTCGAAGCGGGTGGGCGGGGAGCCCCAGACTCGCGCGGCCTCCAGCCTCCGGACCAGGGCTTTCCCACCTCTGCCCTCCCAGAGGGTTACGGCCCGCTCGGCCCGAGGGGCCCGCCCTCCGCCACCGCCCCGCCCGGGCCCAAGCCCGGCCCCAGGAGAGCTCCCCTCCCGCCGCCGCCCACTCCCGGTCCAAAACGGCGGCTGGAGGCGGGCGGCGCTCGGGAGTCGGGGCCTTCCCTCCCGGGTCTCGGGACTCGGACAAGGGCCCAAGGGGGAACCCCCGCCTTCCCCTACCTCCCAGCCTGCAGTACGAGCCTGCCGCGCCTCGGACTGGGCGGGGCTGGGAGGTGGAGGGCGGACAGGAGCGTCGAGGCCCCGCCCACAGGAAGGGCTGCGCGTGCGCGGAGAGCGTGTCTGGACGCGCCGCATCGGTGCTGGTGCTGGAGCTGGAGCTGGAGCTGGGGCAGGGTCGGGTGGGTACCAGTAACAAAAGCTTTAACCGGGAATACTTTCTGGGACAGACGCTAGGCTTTGAAAGGTGAGATCTGAAACCTGGGACTAGAATTGTAACCCTCTGAGCCTCAGTTTTCAATTCGGAAAGTAGGGATGATGATTGCTGCATTTTTAAAAATTATTATTATGTAATTTAGGCAGTAAACATGGTCTATTTTTGCTTCTTTCCAATAGAATACATTTGATCACTTTTTTTTATACAGCAGGTTCTTATTAGTCATCAATTTTATAAACAAATGTGTATACATGTCAATCCCAATTGCCTGATTGCCGCCTTCTTGATTCAGAAGCTTGTTAGGAAGATCAAGTGAACTCCTGTTTACCATAGTGCTTTGAAAAGGGAAGTCGTGATGGAAGTATAAATAGCCAATATAAACAAAGAGAAATGTTCACGTTCACTGATAATCGATAATTTTAAAATTACAATTTTATAACTATTCACAATAATTTTACAAATTGAAATAGCTGGCTATCATTTTTCATTTATTAGATTATCAAGGATTGGACAAAATGGTAGATAAGTACTTTGACAGCAGAAATCTTGTACAGTCTAATAATAACAACGACAATAATAACTACCTCTCTTCTGGACTTATATTACAGGCACTGTTCATAGAGCTTCACATTTATTAACTCATGTATTCCTCATAATAAGTACGTATAATAGTGTGAATATATAATAATATACTATTATTGTTCCCATTTTACAAATAAGGAAACAGAGGCACAGAGAGTTTGTGACTTGTCCAAGGTCACACACCCAGTAAGTGCCCTAGCAAGTATTTCATCTAGGATTGAGGATAGGACAATGGCCTATCCAAAAGAAAACGTGTTCAAGCCTACTCCTTTTGTTCCTTTAAGGATTGGGCAAGAATTGAAACAAAGGATGGATTCTAAGCAACAGCGAAAGTGTAGCCCAGATGGACACTCATATTTTCAGTCAAAGTGTAAATTATCACAATATTTTGGGAAGCCAGTTTAACACAGCATTTCAAAAGCCTTGAAAATGAACACGACCCCACAAAAAGACAAATACTGCATTATTCCATTTCTATGAGATAACTAAAATAGTCAAACTCTTAGTAGAATGGTGATTGCCAGGGGCTGGGGGGAGGGGAAAAGGGAATTGTTCAATAGATATAGAGTTTCAGTTTTGCAAGATGAAAAAGTCCTATAGATCAGCTGCACAACAGTATGCATATAGTTGATACCACTGTACTGCACACTTAAAAATAATTAAGATGGTAAACCTACCTAAGGAGGTAAAAGACCTGTACTGGAAAACTATAAGACACTGATGAAAGAAATAAGACACAAACCGTTGGAAACATGTACTGTGTTGTTCATGGATTGGAAGAATTAATATTGTTAAAATGACCATACTACCAAAGGCAATCCACAGATTCAGTGCAATCCCTATCACAATACTAAGGGCATTTTTCACAGAACTAGAACAAATAATTTTAATATTTGTATGGAAACAAAAAAGAGCCCAAATAGCTAAAACAACGTTGAGAAAGGAGAACAGAGCTGGAGGAATCATGCTCCCTGACTTCAGACTATACTACAAAGCTGCAGTAATCAAAACAGTATGGTACTGGCACAAAAACAGACACATAGATCAATGGAAGAGTATACAGAGCCCAGAAATAAACCCATGCACTTATGGTCAATTAATCTACAACAAAGGAGGCAAGAATACACAATGGAGAAAAGACAGTGTCTTCAATAAGTGGTGCTGGGAAAACTGGACAGCTTCATGTAAAACAATGAAATTAGAATATTCTCCAATGCCATATACAAAAATAAACTCAAAATGGATTAAAGACCTAAATGTAAGACCAGAAACAATAAAACTCCTGGAAGAAAACATAGGCATAACATCTTTGACATAAATTGTAGCACTATTTTTTTGGATCTGTCTCCTAAAGAAAGGAAATAAAAGCAACAACAAACAACTGGAAAATAATTAAACTTAAAAGCTTTTGCATAGCAAAGGAAACCATCAACTGAATGGGAGAAAATATTTTCAAATGATATGTTCAATAAAGTGTTAATATCCAAAATGTATAAACAGTTCATACACTCAATATCAAAAAACCAAACAACCCAGTCAAAAAAATGGGCAGAAGACCTAAATAGACATTTTTCCAAAGAAGACATACAGATGGCCAACAGGCACATGAAAAGATGCTCAACATCATTAATCATCAGAGAAATGCAAATTAAAACCACAATGAGATATCATCTCACACCTGTCAGAATGGCTATCATCAAAAAGACACAAATAAAAAAATGTTGGTGAGGATGTGGAGAAAAGGGAACCCTTGTACACTGTTGGTGGAAGTGTAAATTGGTGCAGCCACTGTGGAAAACAGTATGGAGTTTTCTCAAAAAACTGAAAATAGAACTACCATATGACCCAGCAATTCCACACCTGGGTATATATCCGAAGAAAACGAAAACTCTAATTCAAAAAGATACATGCACCCCAATGTTCATAGTGTCATTATTTACAATTGCCAAGACATGGAAGCAACCTAAGTGTCCATCAACAAATGAATGGTTAAACAAGATGTGTTTTATATATATATATATATATATACACACACAATGAATATTACTCAGCCGTAAAAAGGAATGAAATTTTGCCATTTGCAGCAATATGGATGGACTTGGAGGGTATTATACTAAGTGAAATAAGTCGGACAGAGAAAGACAAATACTGTATAATATCACTTATACGTGGAATCTAACAAATAAAACAAACTAATGTAGTGACTATAACAAAAAAGGAACAGACTCACAAATTAGAGAACAAACTAGCGGTAACCAGTGGAGAGAGGGAAGTGGGGAGGGGCGAGATAGGGGTAAGGGATTAAGAGGTACAAACTATAAATAAGCTACAAGGATGTATTGTACAACACAGGGAATATAGTCAATATTTTGTAGTAACTATAAATGGAATATAATCTTTATAAATTGTGAATCACTATATTTTACACCTATAACATGTAATATTGTACATCAATTATACTTCCATTAAAAAATTTGTTTAAAGCTTAAGATGGTAAATTTTATGTTATGTGGGTTTTTTTTTTAACCACATTGAAAAAAAAATAAGCACAACTTTGACTCAGCAACTACACTTTTAAGTTATCCTAACTAAATAATCAGAGACGGTGCTATTCCTAAGAGTAAAAAACCAAAACAATGAAAATATTTATAAATGGGGTCAATTAAATAAATTATAGGATAGCTATAATGGGATTCTATGCAGCCAATAAAATGACACAGAAGAATTTTTTATGTAATAAAATGTTTTTATTTTAGTAAATGAAAAAGTTACAAAGAGGCATATACAACATAGTCACAATATTTGTTTTATTGTTTCAGAAAAGATTATTATATACACATGAAAAAGGGGCTGGATGGAAACACACCAAATTACAAATTGAAATTAAGAATGGAGATTATTTTTATCTTCTTTGTGCTTTTCTATATTTTCCAAAATTTCTACAATGAACATTTAAACTTTAGCAAGATTTATACTTTCTTTTACATTTTTGTCACATTGTACACTTTATAAAGTTCATATAAACTCTGGATTAGATTACAGCTGGAGACAGGGCAGAGACTTTGGAAGGCTTTACAAAGCCAACAGAAACAGACTGGATATAGGGTATTAAGTAGTGGAAAAGCCAAACTGGAAGATTGGAAAAAGAGTGGAGCCACTGATAAAAATTATGATGAGTTGGCTTGGGAAAGGATGAGGAAGAGGATAAGTCAGAGGTGTGTGAGTGTGTGTGTGTATGTGTGTGTGTGTGTGTGTGTGTGTGTGTGTGTGAGAGAGAGAGAGAGAGAGAGAGAGAGAGAGAGAGAGAGAGAGACAAAGAGAGACAGAGACAGAGAGACAGAGACAGAGCGTGCTAGTTTACACTTACAGGTGGCAATAAGCAAGACAATTTGTCCAGTAAGTATAGGGCTGCAGAAAATCACAGGTGTGTAGATACTGGTTTGGGATTCTTCATCAGGAAGGTGAAGGCTGAAGCCAGGAGGGAGTGAAAGTCCCCTCTCTGTTCTTCCTCCATGAGTTTATGATCTCTCTTTCTCTCTCTCTCGACCATCAACAGACGCTTGGACAGTCTACAAAATTCCCTGGTTGACTGAGTCAGTGTTTACATGAATATAACTATTCCTAAGAGTAAAAAAGAATATTTTTACAGTGTATACCGTACTAAGATTACATTCACTTTATTAAACAACTCTAAACAACTCTACAACTCTTTTTTTCCTGGAGTCAAAAATTGCCTACTTTTTTTCATTTGTGTAATTATCTATGCATCTACTGTTAATTATTCCATAAACTCTCCATCAGGACTATAAAACGTCTTTCTGTCTGGTCTCATGAATCCGATACTTTTCAACATTTTTTTCCCTTAGAGACATTCTTCCTTAGGCCTATCCTCCTCTCGCTCCAAGCTGTCGTCTTGGCTTTGCTATCCAACTGTTGTCCTGAGACTTCCCATAACCACATTCTGGGGACTTGCATCTCCTCTCCTGTACCAAATCCCCTGTCTCCTGGATATTCCTATTTGAGGCTTATTCTCTCATTTTGAAGGAGCTCATTCCCCAGTAACTTCCCCAGAATAAGTTCATGGGAGGTACATTTTTGAAACCCTGCTTATCTAAAGATGGCTTTATTTTGCTCTCACACTTGATTGACAGTTTGGCCGGGTACAGAGT